GGCAATCATAGAGCAATAGGATTTCTATGCCTAGCTTAAGTGTGGCACAAGGCAGACAGTATGGGGCACTCAGTGAGGATCGAACTTACTATTCACTCGAAGTGCCGAAACACGGAAATCGATATATTTTGTAGTTTTCTTTTTATAGCACCATACGTTTTGATCAAAATTCGTGTATAGATCTTTTCCGAATGGATTAAGATAGATATTCATTTTGGAATCACTTGAGCTCTTTGACGTGTTGTCATGGTTATCAAAATTGTCTAGCAAGATCAATTACGACCGAGTAGTGAGTTCAATCCTTATTAGGGGCCCAGAACATTCAGCCTTGCTCTACATCTAAGCTATTCTTAGAAAATAACCATATTGGGATAGCTTGATAGATCAAATCCTTTTTTATCCTTCTCAAACCATTTAACCATTTCTTTAAACCTTCTTTAACCATACTTTAACACATTTTAAAAATTTATAACCATTCTTTAACCATTTGTTAGCATTCTTAACATTCTCCAACATTCTTTAACCATTCGTTAACATTTTCTAACATTCTCTAACATTCTTTAACTATTCGTTAACATTTTTAAACATTCTCTAACATTTTTTAACCATTCGTTAACATTCTTAAACATTTTCTAACATTCTTTAACCATTCGTTAATATTCTTAAACATTCTCTAACATTCTTTAACCATTCGCTAACATTCTTAAACATTCTCCAACATTCTTTAACCATTCGTTAACATTCTTAAACATTCTCCATCATTCTTTAACCGTTCGTTAACATTAATAAACATTCTCTAACATTCTTGAACCTTTCGTTAACATTATTAAATATTCTAATCCATTCGTTAACATTCTTAAACATTCTCCAACATTCTTATCCATTCGTTAACATTCTTAAACATTCTCTAACATTCTTTAACTATTCGTTAACATTTTTAAACATTCTCTAACATTCTTTAACCATTCGTTAATATTCTTAAACATTCTCTAACTTTCTTTAACCACTCTTTAACATTCTTAACCATTCTCTAACATTCTTTAACCGTTCGTTAACATTCTTAAACATCCCTAACATTCTTTAAACATTCGTTAATATTCTTAAACATTCTCTAACATTCTTTAACCATTTCTTTAAGACTAATAATATTTAACCAATCTTTAACACCCATTAACAATTTTAACCATTCTTTAACCATTTGTTAACATTCTTTAACCATTTTAGCAATATTAACCATTGTTTAACCTTTTTTAATCCTTCTTTAACATTATTCAACCATTCGTTAACATTCCTAACCCTTCCTTAACATTCTGTAACCATTTTTGCCATTTCTTTAAGCGTAATATTCTTTAACCATTTTGGAATAACTTGAGCACTTTGAAATGTCATGGTTAACAAAATTGTCTAGCTAGATCAATTACGACCGCGTAGTGAGTTCAATCCTTATTAGTTGCCCCGAACTTTCGCCTTTGCTCTACATCTAAGCTATTCTTAGAAAATCACCATACTGGGATAGCTTGATAGATCGATATGAGTGGAAACTGGTCAACAGAGCCTCCAGGATGATTGATATGGAAGACAGAAACTGAAAGATTCAATGCATACGAATAGAAATGGTGAAGCTGGTGTTCTCCGATAGGGAGAAATCGACCGCTCTTCATGAATAATACAAACGTAATGTGGATTTCTGTAATTGCAACAGCGTAATATAGCGCGATGTACTATTTCTCAAAAGGGAGACAATTCATTCAGGTTTTACTGAAAAGGAACGCGAAATTCGAACAAGTGCACACGAAAGGAGGCCGTAACAACACATTATCTACATATACGATGTCAGTGAATTCGGCCCTGTAAACTATATAGACGTAAGAAGATTGTTCGATGAACATTTTGGGATTTTAAAATCGAAATGTCTGTCTTAATTCGGTAAAGAGAGAAACACGTACGCAGACATGCCCACGCACACACACACTGACAAATATATACACAGACGCGTATTATATATCGTATTTCCCTGTCTATAGAACGAAAAGGCTTGAACGAAATTTAAAGACGAAAAGAGAGGACCGTATTGTATACAAGTAGACGTTTTTATTCAGCTTAAAAAATGATTTGAAACTGCAAGATGGCATAGACAGGAAACACCAAAAATGTTGACATGTTAAAATTAATTTTTTTTTTTTAGATGTATCTGAGTATGTAGTCAAGCCAATTTCATTCAGTTTTCTTATGTTTTTGTTTTTATCACTTTTATTAAGTGTCCTACATCGTTTTAATAGAAGGTCTGTGAAATGTCGTAAGAATCTGGACACAAATTTACTATGGATGGTTTACTGAACAATGGACTTTCTATACACTTTTGCCTTAGAAAATTGCTTTCTCTTTTTAATCAGCATCATTTTTATTATGGTCAGACTCATTACGATGAGCAACTCATGCACTCATCTTGTAAAAGATATATTTTTTGTGTTTATATAATCATTTACTTAAATTCCTCAAG